GAATTGATATAAAATAATGTAATGCAAGATTTCCTCCCCTAGACGTAAAGTTCACAGCAGTGTAAGGAGGACGTTGATCATGAATATATTTCTTTAAAAAAATTCCAGATGTTTTATTGCTAGATATTTATTAATATATATTAAATAATCGCAAAATTATTTAATGCAAGGCTTTCCTTTGGCTGGAAATTGTTGCAGAAATAAATTGCATTGGTGTTATTCCTACAAATCGCCACAGGAGGGCGTTCAGGCTCGCATTTTTAAATGTCTATTACTGATTTAAGTGCAATGTCAAAACTACATTGTTGCAGGAGGACTGAGGCACGAGTCTGGCAAACACGTAAGTTCATAAAGATTGATTAGGCTTATATTTTAATGGGAATGAGCGGAGATATTAGATTAAAACTGATGCTGCTTCTGTTTTATGATTTACCTGTCACGTGATGTGGTTCATGTGATTACATTACGCCGCTTCATTCTCGTCACTTACGTGTTTCCACAATATATTTTTGTCGTTGTACTAAATATTTTTAAACGAACTTCTGAAAGACTCCAATGATAACATTTACTCTCTATGTGAAGATTTCTCAAAATATTTGTCATTATAATTTGTAAAGCTTCCATGTAACTTTATTTTATGATTATATGAAGACTGAGGATAATATTTATATGTGAATAACTTTGACATGCCTTATGGACTGAAATGCCTTTGCTTAATTGATTTAATTTTAGGTTTATTTGTTTTTATTTTGTTTATTGAATTTTGTTCAAAGTAACTGTTTATGTTATGCACATGAGTCTCCCAACGAGAGATTTTGTAAATGGTTTTTTTGTAAATAAGTGTGTTCAATAAAAAAATAATAATAATTTAAAAAATTAAACACACTCATAACTTTAAAATAGGGTTATTTAATAAGGTAACTAAAATTGACATTTCATATTTTATAAAAATATTGCCGTGCTATAAAGAATTTATCCGAAAGAATTTTTTTAAAGTACGTGCACTCCAATAAAAATACAAAAAAAAAAAAAAACTCTGCCTCTGCTCAAAATAATTAATAATATATAAAAGTAAATTGATATAAAATAATCTAAAGCAAGATTTCCTCCCCTAGACGACGTTAAGACGTTAAGACCACAGGTGGACGTTAAACAGGAATATATTTCTATAAAAAAATGCCAGATGTTTTATTGCTACACGTTTATTAAAATATATTAAATAAACGCAAAATTATTTAATGCAAGGTTTTCCTTTGGCTGGAAATTGTTGCAGAAATAAATTGCATTGGTGTTATTCCTACAAATCGCCACAGGAGGGCGTTCAGGCTCGCATATTTAAATGTCTATTACTGATTTAAGTGCAATGTCAAACTACATTGTTGCAGGAGGACTGAGGCACGAGTCTGGCAAACACGTAAGTTCATAAAGATTGATTAGTCTTATATTTTAAAGTGAATGGCCGGAGATATTAGATTAAAACTGATGCTGCTTCTGTTTTATGATCTACCTGTCACGTAATGTGGTTAATCGCTGGCAGGTGCACGTGATTACATTACGCCGCTTCATTCTCGTCACCTCCGTGTTTTCCACAATATATTTTTTGTCGTTGTACTAAATATTTTTAAACGGACTCATAACTTTAAAATATGTTTATTTAATAAGGTAACTAAAATTGACAGTTCATATTTTATTTTATGAAATATTGCCGTGTTATAAAGAATTTATCCGAAATAATTTTTTTTAAAGTACGTGCACTCCAATAAAAATACAAAAAAACTCTGCCTCTGCTCAAGATAATTAATAATATATAAATGTGAATTGATATAAAATAATCTAAAGCAAGATTTCCTCCCCTAGACGACGTTAAGACGTAAGACCACAGGTGGACGTTAAACATGAATATATTTCTATAAAAAAAAATTCCAGATGTTTTATTGCTACACGTTTATTAAAATATATTAAATAAACGCAAAATTATTTAATGCAAGGTTTTCCTTTGGCTCGAAATTGTTGCAGAAATAAATTGCATTGATGTTATTCCTACAAATCGCCACAGGGGGGCGTTCAGGTTCGCATTTTTAAATGTCTATTGCTGATATGGGGCTATATTTCTACTTAACAAAATAAGTAATATGCCAGGTGTCTTGTTACTGCACATGGTGATCAACCATTTATTATTTAACAACAAGTCCATCCAAGATCAATGGAGATTGTTTATTGTTAAGAAGGTCCAGTGGCTCAGTGGTGTGAGCGTCGCTCTCTCATGTGGAGAATCCCAGTTCGAGTCTCTTGTTGGTAAAAAATCTTTAGTTTCACCTTGTTTGGTCCAAATAAAGAAGACATGCTCCCAAAACAGAAGAGTGAGTGTCGAAAGTCCAGTGGCTCATGCACTTCTTTTTTTGGGAGTATGTCTTTTTTTTCTTGGACAAACCCAGTGAAACTAAAGCATCATAAGAGTAAGGCTCGAACCCAGGTTTCCCACATGGAACCTCGTGTGAAACATTTTTAAGTTTATTTAGACTCAATTTTCAACGGTGTAATTCACACAAATCATCACAGGAGGGCGAAACATTTTTAAGCTTATTTAGACTCGATCTGCAACGGTGTGATTCACACAAATCACCACAGGAGAGAGCAACACTTTTTCATTCACTGGACTTATATTGTTTTGGTGTTTTAATTTGCAAATATATGTATTTGAATTTTGAACAGAAGACAGGACGGAACATAGATAGTGTAAATAGTTCTGTTTGGAAGTTCTTATGTTTTTCTCCTCTCACCCTCTTACAGAAGTGTAGCGCATTTACACTAGCTCGTTAGACGATGTAATTCACGAAGATCTCGACAGGTGGGTTAAATTGACTTGTGATAATATGATTGAACCTGCAAGACCTAAAATCACCACAAGAGGGTGCAATTACATTAACAGCTTGACTATTAGTATTAAATCAACTTTCACTCAATATACGAAGGTGTAAATCACACAAATCTCCACAGGAGGATGAAACACTTTAAAGTTTATTTAGGCTCGATGTGCAATGGTGTAATTCACACAAATCACCACAGGAGGGCGAAACATTTTTAAGTTTATTTAGACTTAAATCGAGACCACAGGAGGATGAAACACTTTAAAGTTTATTTAGACTCGATTTGCAACGGTGTAATTTACACAAATCACCACAGGAGGGCGACACTCTTTTATGTTTATTACACTCGATTTGCTACGGTGTAATTCACACAAATCACCACAGGAGGCTGAAACATTTTTAAGTTTATTTAGACTCGATTTGCAATGGTGCAATTCACCCAAATCACCACAGGAGGGCGAAACACTTTTACATTCATTGGACTTATATTGTTTTGGTGTTTTTATTTGTAAATATATCTATTTGAATTTTGAACAGAAGACAGGACGGAACATAGATAGTGTAAATAGTTCTGTCTGGAAGTTTTTATGTTTTTCTCCTCTCACCCTCTTACAGAAGTGTAGCGCATTTACACTAGCTCGTTAGACGATGTAGTTCACAAAGTTCTTCTCAGGAGGATAAAGCCGATTAGCGGTAATAAGGCTGAAGTTGCAAGGCCTAAAATCACCACAGGAGGGCAAAACATTTTTAAGTTTATTTAGAGTCGATTTGCAACGGTGTAATTCACACAAATCACCACATGAGGGCAAAACATTTTTATTGCCAAAAATTACCTAAAATTGATAAGTGAGAGTGGAAGTGCCTGTGGCTCAGTGGTCTGAGCGTTTAGATCTTGGTGTGGGCAACCCAGGTTCAAATCTCTCTCTTGAGCTCTTTAGTTTCATTGGTTTTTCAACAAATAAAAAAGACAAAATTACCAAAAATTAATATATAAGAGTGGAAGTGCCAGTGGCTCAGTGGTCTGAGCGTTAGAGCTTGGTGTGGGCAACCCAGGTTCAAATCTCTCTCTTGAGGTGTTTAGTTTCATTGGTTTTTCAACAAATAAAAAAGACAAAATTACCTAAAATTGATAAGTAAGAGTGGAAGTGCCTGTGGCTCAGTGGTCTGAGCGTTTAGATCTTGGTGTGGGCAACCCAGGTTTGAATCTCTCTCTTGAGCTCTTTAGTTTCATTGGCTTTTCAACAAATAAAAAAGACAAAATTACCAAAAATTCATAAGTAAGAGTGGAAGTGCCAGTGGCTCAGTGGTCTGAGCGTGTCCTCCCGGGGTTGGAAGGATCTGGGTTCAAACCCCAGTCTGGTCTCTGAAGCACGGTTGCGTGAAGGACATCCAGTCGTGAGCTGTGACAAGCTGCGAAACTGAGCGGATCAGGTCATGACCAGGATGAGAGAAGGCAGACGGCTGAGCGGATCAGGACACGAAGGGGGGAGTAAAGATCCAGACCGCTCCCCCTGGGACTTCTAAGACAATATCCAGCAGCGGTTATGAGGAAGGAGTCAAAATTTTCAAAAATTACTTAGTCCTTTTTCTGGAAATTTTTATAAGTCGACATTTTGGGTGTGGCTTTTAACCACTCCCTTTTACTCTTGACTGTACCTGAAATCGCAGCTGTTGCTTTCTCTGGGGAAACTGACCAGCACTTGAAAGGCATTTCCACACATGCTGAAAAATTCAGACTACAGATACATTAATAAACTGGATTTCTAATGAGGAAAACTGGTCTGTTTTAACTTGGCAATCATTAAATTGCAAATCAGTCACAGCTTGTCCAAATTAATAGACAAACTAAACCACGTGGGCCACACATCATCTGAATAATTAGTTAATTGACTGATTCAGTAACAGCAGGTGTTGATGTTTAGAAAGCCAAGATCAGCTGCAAATCATGAACAGCACACAAATGTCACATTTACCATTTTATTGAACACAATCTGGAGTGGATCATTGTCAAAAACATGCCAGTTCAAAACAGAAACAGGTTGAGTCGGGAAAAAGGTCAGATGTAGAACAGTTCAGCGGTTGCTCCTCTCAAAATACTCCATGCAAAGTCACTCACTGCTTTTCCTCATGACCTCCAGCAGCTCAAACCAAGAGATCCCTACAAACAGACAGCAGTGAGACAATCAGAAACACTTCAAATTTCACTAATAACTTCCTCTAAGAAGCTACAAGTCTCAGAAAGAAACAAAGTGATTGATTATAGAATAAATCTATGCATGCTAGGAGGTGAAAATGCATGTTCATTTATGAGCAATTTAACTAATGCAACAGCATCTGTAAGATATCAATCAAGCTACAAAAATAGAATTAAATGTCACTTTGATGTTAAATATCCAAAACAATAAGTTAACATACACACTCCTTCTATGATCTAGACAAGGATTTTACAAACCTGTTCCAGGAGCCACACCAACATTGCACATCCTGGAAGTCCTTCTTATCTGACCCATATATATCTAGTTTTGGAGTCTCTGCTAACGAGCTGATGAGTTGATTCAGGTGTGATTGATTAGGAAGAGTTGGAAAATGTGTTTTGTTGGTGTTCCTGCAGGGACAGAGTTACGAAACACTGATATAGAAATTACTTCAAATCAGGTATGAGGACACCGCAACATACAATACATACATGGATTAACAATACACTTTAACATAATTTGAAAGCTTAACAACTGAATGTTAAAGAAACCACACTTGAGCAAAGAAACCACCCTTGAGCTCACTGCGTTCCTCTGGTAGATTGCAATGGTGGGACTTGAACTCAGAACGCTGTGATTGAAACACAACTCTTTCTCTCCTGAGCCATTGAGTCTGTTGAGATGAAGAGCGTTTTCAACCAGTTTGATTTAGAGTTGTGTGTTAAATGATGAATAACTTTAACAAACATGGATCTGAAACCTGGGATTAGGTGGGGATCAAACCCATGTCTCCAGTGCAACCCATCAGCCGAGAACATATGTTTAACCACTGACTGCACCACTGTGGTTTTCACTTTGAGAGCTGGTGTTTTGGCCACTTTGTTTGATATGACAACTATTGATAACAATTTTATTTAAATTATGTGGACAAACAGCTGAATTGGGATTTGAATCTTAACTTCAGCACATCCTTACATTCACAGAACATGTGTTTAACCACTGCACGTCTAAACGCAAGAAGAAGGTAGAATTGAACCTGTAACCACTCGCTTCAGAGCCCCTACCACTGAGCCACTGAAGACAACACGGTTCTGACGGTTCTGGCGGTTCTCTTTGTACGTTTATCTTTCGAAACGGAGTCTAAACACAACAAGAAGTTGGAACAGAACCGGTATTGCTCCCACTGAGCCACTGAAGACGACACTGTGTATATATGTCTATGCACTAATGACACTGCAACCTGGGGGCGCCAAGTCCAGAGAATTCTTTTTTTTTTTTATTGCCATATAGAATTCAAGTACAAACAATTAAGGCATAGATCAACAATCATACAGTTACATTCGTGCTGATATATCACTTAGAGAAGAAAAAAAATACATAGAAGAGAGAGAAGAAAAAAAACATAAAAAATAAATAAATAATAATAATAATTAAAAAAAAAAGGGGTGAGGGTCTTATTCCAATAACCTAAACATTTCCAAAACAGAGAGAAATTTCAGGGCTTTTGAGTCCGTCATCCAAAGAAGAGATTTTACAAATAACATCAAGTCATTCTTCCAACCATTGAAATGGGGTTTGATCTTTACAAATTTACATCTGTGAATGAAGTGTTTACCCCAAACAATCAGATTGTTTATCAAAAAATCTAAGTTTTTATCTAAGTCCAGAGAATTCGCGGAGAATTCGGGGAGAATGGGCTTTATGCCCAGCTGCACTACTTCCTGAACTTCAGCCAGCTCCTTGTTTCCTGTCTGCCACTATTGGTCAAATTGATTAATTCAGCTGTGCTTGACCTCAGTAGTCATAGGCAACAATAATCAGATTCACCTGAATTAATCAATTTGGCCAATAATGGCAGACAGGAAACAAGGAGCTGGCTGAAGTTCAGGAAGTAGTGCAGCTGGGCATAAAGCCAATTCTCCGGACTTGGCGCCTTAACTTTAACAAACTTAAACAAACCTGGGGGGTGCCAAGTCCCCAAATTCTCCGCGAATTCTCTCCGAAATCCCCGAATTCTGCGCAAATTATCCAGACTTGGCGCCCCCCTCAGTAGTGCATAGATATATGCAGCATAGATATAGAACAGTGCTATATCTATGCTGCATATATCTATGAACTAATGAGGGGGCGCCAAGTCCGGAGAATTTGCAGGGAATTCGCGGGGAATTCGGGGACTTGGCGCCACCAGGTTCCAGCGTTTAGAGGCCGCTAAAAACCGTACACAGCACCTTTAAATACCATTTTAAAGGCAGTTTTCACTCTCAGATCCCAGTCATAACAGGAAGTAGAATAAAAGCAGGAAGCAACAGGAGAACATCAGAGCTTCACACAAGACACAACTCCTGCTGACTCTCACATACACCCAGAAAACACTGCAATATCAATTCTTATTACACTTTACAGTGTGAATATCAGAGGGCGATTCATTCAAAGATTAAAAAGGGAACGCTACAATAGCGACTGACAATAGAACTTGACTTCATGCTAAAGTAAAAGTTATTTACAGGTGAGTCTTGTGCCGTACTCGGTTCCCTCATTTATGTGTCGTTTGATTGCGTCTGTCAGTTTTATTTGCGGTTGAGCTGTAATATGTGCTGTTAAAGTGACATTAAGAGCTGTCATCTTCTCATCTGCAGGATCTTGTTGCAATGGTGTAATTCACACAAATCACCACAGGAGGGCGTAACACTTATGTTTTTTCGACTCGATTTGCAACGGTGTAATTCACACAAATCACCACAGGAGGGCGAAACACTTTTACATTCATTGGACTTATATTGTTTTGTTTTTTTTATTTGCAAATATATCTATTTGAATTTTGAACAGAAGACAGGACGGAACATAGATAGTGTAAATAGATCTGTTTGGAAGTTCTTATGTTTTTCTCCTCTCACCCTCTTACAGAAGTGTAGCGCATTTACACTAGCTCGTTAGACGATATAGTTCGCAAAGATCTCGACAGGTGGATAAATCCGAATAGCGGTAATAAGGCTGAATTGCAAAGCCTAAAGTCACCTCAGGAGAGGACAACACTTTTATGTTTATAAAACTTGATTTGCAATTGTGTAATTCACACAAATCACCACAGGAGGGCTAAACATTTCTGAGTTTGTTTAGACTCGATTTGCAACGGTGTAATTCACACAAATCACCACATGAGGGCAAAACCTTTTTACGTTTATTTAGACTCGATTTGCAACGGTGTAATTCACACAAATCACCACAGGAGGGCAAAACATTTGTACGTTTATTTAGACTCGATTTGCAACGGTGTAATTCACACAAATCACCACATGAGGGAAAATTTATAAGTAAAAGTGGAAGTGCCAGTGGCTCAGTGGACTGAGCATTAGAGCTTGGTGTGGGCAACCCAGGTTCAAATCTCTCTCTTGAGCTCTTTAGTTTCATTGGTTTTTCAACAAATAAAAAAGACAAAATTACCAAAAATTCATAAGTAAGAGTGGAAGTGCCAGTGGCTCAGTGGTCTGAGCGTTAGAGCTTGGTGTGGGCAACCCAGGTTCAAATCTCTCTCTTGAGCTCTTTAGTTTCATTGGGTTTTTCAACAAATAAAAAAGACAAAATTACCAAAAATTCATAAGTAAGAGTGGAAGTGCCAGTGGCTCAGTGGTCTGAGCGTTAGAGCTTGGTGTGGGCAACCCAGGTTCAAATCTCTCTCTTGAGCTCTTTAGTTTCATTGGTTTTTCAACAAATAAGAAAGACAAAATTACCAAAAATTCATAAGTAAGAGTGGAAGTGCCAGTGGCTCAGTGGTCTGAGCGTTAGAGCTTGGTGTGGGCAACCCAGGTTCAAATCTCTCTCTTGAGGTGTTTAGTTTCACTGGTTTTTCAACAAATAAAAAAAGACAAAATTACCAAATATTCATAAGTAAGAGTGGAAGTGCCAGTGGCTCAGTGGTCTGAGCGTGTCCTCCCGGGGTCGGAAGGATCTGGGTTCAAACCCCAGCCTGGTCTCTGAAGCACGTTTGCGTGAAGGACATCCAGTCGTGAGCTGTGACAAGCTGCGAAACTGAGCGGATCAGGTCACGACCAGGATGAGAGAAGGCAGACGGCTGAGCGGATCAGGACACGAAGGGGGGAGTAAAGATCCAGACCGCTCCCCCTGGGACTTCTAAGACAATATCCAGCAGCGGTTATGAGGAAGGAGTCAAAATTTTCAAAAATTACTTATAAAAATTTCCAGAAAAAGGACTAAGTCGACATTTTGGGTGTGGCTTTTAACCACTCCCCTTTAAGGTGTGGCTTTTGGCCACTCCCTTTTACTCTTGACTGTACCTGAAATCGCAGCTGTTGCTTTCTCTGGGGAAACTGACCAGTACTTGAAAAGCATTTCCACACATGCTGAAAAATTCAGACTACAGATACATTAATAAACTGGATTTCTAATGAGGAAAAAATGGTCTGTTTTAACTTGGCAATCATTAAATTGCAAATCAGTCACAGCTTGTCCAAATTAATAGACAAACTAAACCACGTGGGCCACACATCATCTGAATAATTAGTTAATTGACTGATTCAGTAACAGCAGGTGTTGATGTTTAGAAAGCCAAGATCAGCTGCAAATCATGAACAGCACACAAATGTCACATTTACCATTTTATTGAACACAAAATAGTGGATCATTGTCAAAAACATGCCAGTTCAAAACAGAAACAGGTTGAGTTGGGAAAAAGGTCAGATGTAGAACAGTTCAGCGGTTGCTCCTCTCAAAATACTCCATGCAAAGTCACTCACTGCTTTTCCTCATGACCTCCAGCAGCTCAAACCAAGAGATCCCTACAAACAGACAGCAGTGAGACAATCAGAAACACTTCAAATTTCACTAATAACTTCCTCTAAGAAGCTACAAGTCTCAGAAAGAAACAAAGTGATTGATTATAGAATAAATCTGTGCATGCTAGGAGGTGAAAATGCTTGTTCACTTATGAGCAATTTAACTAATGCAACAGCATCTGTAAGATATCAATCAAGCTACAAAAATAGAATTAAATGTCACTTTGATGTTAAATATCCAAAACAATAAGTTAACATACACACTCCTTCTATGATCTAGACAAGGATTTTACAAACCTGTTCCAGGAGCCAAACCAACATTGCACATCCTGGAAGTCCTTCTTATCTGACCCATATATATCTAGTTTTGGAGTCTCTACTAACGAGCTGATGAGTTGATTCAGGTGTGATTGATTAGGAAGAGTTGGAAAATGTGTTTTGTTGGTGTTCCTGCAGGGACAGAGTTACGAAACACTGATATAGAAATGACTTCAAATCAGGTATGAGGACACCGCAACATACTATACATACATGGATTAACAATACACTTTAACATAATTTGAAAGCTTAACAACTGAATGTTCAAGAAACCACATCATAGATATAAACAAAATTCAGGTTTATGTTATTAAACAGAGTAGAGATCATTCAGTGTTTATGTGAAAACAGAGTTAATAGAAATGAAGAGTAAGAGCACTCTACAGGTTACTTATTTATTTTAAATATGAACATAAAAAAGATTTTTTTATGTTCCTAAAAAATCATAAAAATGATTTTTTTAGATTCTTGCAGGAACTCTGTCCCTGCAGGAACACCAACAAAACACATTTTCCAACTCTTCCTAATCAATCACACCTGAATCAACTCATCAGCTCGTTAGCAGAGACTCCAAAACTAGATATATATGGGTCAGATAAGAAGGACTTCCAGGATGTGCAATGTTGGTTTGGCTCCTGGAACAGGTTTGTAAAATCCTTGTCTAGATCATAGAAGGAGTGTGTATGTTAACTTATTGTTTTGGATATTTAACTTCAAAGTGACATTTAATTCTATTTTTGTAGCTTGATTGATATCTTACAGATGCTGTTGCATTAGTTAAATTGCTCATAAATGAACATGCATTTTCACCTCCTAGCATGCATAGATTTATTCTATAAACAATCACTTTGTTTCTTTCTGAGACTTGTAGCTTCTTAGAGGAAGTTATTAGTGAAATTTGAAGTGTTTCTGATTGTCTCACTGCTGTCTGTTTGTAGGGATCTCTTGGTTTGAGCTGCTGGAGGTCATGAGGAAAAGCAGTGAGTGACTTTGCATGGAGTATTTTGAGAGGAGCAACTGCTGAACTGTTATACATCTGACCTTTTTCCCGACTCAACCTGTTTCTGTTTTGAACTGGCATGTTTTTGACAATGATCCACTCCAGTTTGTGTTCAATAAAATGGTAAATGTGACATTTGTGTGCTGTTCATGATTTGCAGCTGATCTTGGCTTTCTAAACATCAACACCTGCTGTTACTGAATCAGTCAATTAACTAATTATTCAGATGATGTGTGGCCCACGTGGTTTAGTTTGTCTATTAATTTGGACAAGCTGTGACTGATTTGCAATTTAATGATTGCCAAGATAAAACAGACCAGTTTTCCTCATTAGAAATCCAGTTTATTAATGTATCTGTAGTCTGAATTTTTCAGCATGTGTGGAAATGCCTTTCAAGTGCTGGTCAGTTTCCCCAGAGAAAGCAACAGCTGCGATTTCAGGTACAGTCAAGAGTAAAAGGGAGTGGCCAAAAGCCACACCTTAAAGGGGAGTGGCTAAAAGCCACACCCAAAATGTCGACTTAGTCCTTTTTCTGGAAATTTTTATAAGTAATTTTTGAAAATTTTGACTCCTTCCTCATAACCGCTGCTGGATATTGTCTTAGAAGTCCCAGGGGGAGCAGTCTGGATCTTTACTCCCCCCTTCATGTCCTGATCCGCTCAGCCGTCTGCCTTCTCTCATCCTGGTCGTGACCTGATCCGCTCAGTTTCGCAGCTTGTCACAGCTCACGACTGGATGTCCTTCACGCAACCATGCTTCAGAGACCAGGCTGGGGTTTGAACCCAGATCCTTCCGACCCCGGGAGGACACGCTCAGACCACTGAGCCACTGGCACTTCCACTCTTACTTATGAATTTTTGGTAATTTTGTCTTTTTTATTTGTTGAAAAACCAATGAAACTAAAGACCTCAAGAGAGAGATTTGAACCTGGGTTGCCCACGCCAAGCTCTAACGCTCAGACCACTGAGCCACTGGCACTTCCACTCTTACTTATGAATTTTTGGTAATTTTGTCTTTTTTATTTGTTGAAAAACCAATGAAACTAAAGACCTCAAGAGAGAGATTTGAACCTGGGTTGCCCACACCAAGCTCTAACGCTCAGTCCACTGAGCCACTGGCACTTCCACTCTTACTTATGAATTTTTGGTAATTTTGTCTTTTTTATTTGTTGAAAAACCAATGAAACTAAAGACCTCAAGAGAGAGATTTGAACCTGGGTTGCCCACACCAAGCTCTAATGCTCAGTCCACTGAGCCACTGGCACTTCCACTTTTACTCATCAATTTTTGGAAATTTTTGGTAATAAAAATGTTTTGCCCTCATGTGGTGATTTGTGTGAATTACTCCGTTGCAAATCGAGTCTAAATAAACTTAAAAATGTTTTGCCCTCCTGTGGTGATTTGTGTGAATTACACCGTTGCAAATCGAGTCTAAATAAACGTAAAAATGTTTTGCCCTCCTGTGGTGATTTGTGTAAATTACACAGTTGCAAATCAAGTTTTAAAAACATAAAAGTGTTGTCGTCTCCTGAGGTGACTTTAGGCCTTGCAAATTCAGCCTTATTACCGCTAATCGGATTTATCCCCCTGAGAAGATCTTTGCGAACTATATCGTCTAACGAGCTAGTGTAAATGCGCTACACTTCTGTAAGAGGGTGAGAGGAGAAAAACATAAGAACTTCCAAACAGATCTATTTACACTATCTATGTTCCGTCCTGTCTTCTGTTCAAAATTCAAATAGATATATTTGCAAATAAAAAAAACAAAACAATATAAGTCCAATGAATGTAAAAGTGTTTCGCCCTCCTGTGGTGATTTGTGTGAATTACACCGTTGCAAATCGAGTCGAAAAAACATAAGTGTTGCGCCCTCCTGTGATGATTTGTGTGAATTACACCATTGCAACAAGATCCTGCAGATGAGAAGATGACAGCTCTTAATGTCACTTTAACAGCACATATTACAGCTCAACCGCAAATAAAACTGACAGACGCAATCAAACGACACATAAATGAGGGAACCGAGTACGGCACAAGACTCACCTGTAAATAACTTTTACTTTAGCATGAAGTCAAGTTCTCTTCTCAGTCGCTATTGTAGCGTTCCCTTTTTAATCTTTGAATGAATCGCCCTCTGATATTCACACTGTAAAGTGTAATAAGAATTGATATTGCAGTGTTTTCTGGGTATATGTGAGAGTCAGCAGGAGTTGTGTCTTGTGTGAAGCTCTGATGTTCTCCTGTTGCTTCCTGCTTTTATTCTACTTCCTGTTATGACTGGGATCTGAGAGTGAAAACTGCCTTTAAAATGGTATTTAAAGGTGCTGTGTACGGTTTTTAGCGGCCTCTAAACGCTGGAACCTGGTGGCGCCAAGTCCCCGAATTCCCCGCGAATTCCCTGCAAATTCTCCGGACTTGGCGCCCCCTCATTAGTTCATAGATATATGCAGCATAGATATAGCACTGTTCTATATCTATGCTGCATATATCTATGCACTACTGAGGGGGCGCCAAGTCTGGATAATTTGCACAGAATTCGGGGATTTCGGTGAGAATTCGCGGAGAATTTGGGGACTTGGCACCAAGTCCGGAGAATTCTCCCCGAATTCTCCGCGAATTCTCCGGACTTGGCGCCCCCAGGTTCCAGTGTCATTAGTGCATAGACATATGCAGCTTAGATCGTCTTCAGTGGCTCAGTGGGAGCAATACCGGCTCTGAAGCGAGTGGTTGCCGGTTCTGTTCCAACTTCTTGTTGCGTTTAGACTCCGTTTCGAAAGATAAATGTACAAAGAGAACCGTCAGAACCGTGTTGTCTTCAGTGGCTCAGTGGTAGGGGCTCTGAAGCGAGTGGTTACAGGTTCAATTCTACCTTCTTCTTGCGTTTAGACGTGCAGTGGTTAAACACATGTTCTGTGAATGTAAGGATGTGCTGAAGTTAAGGTTCAAATCCCAATTCAGCTGTTTGTCCACATAATTTAAATGAAAGTGTTATCAATAGTTGTTATATCAAACAAAGTGGACAAAACACCAGCTCACAAAGTGAAAGCCGCAGTGGTGCAGTGGTTAAACACATGTTCTGTGAAGGTAAGGATGCTCAGAATTTAAGGTTCAAATCCCACCTCATCTATTTGTCCAACATATTTTAAATAAAATTGTTATCAATAGTTGTCATATCAAACAAAGTGGCCAAAACACCAGCTCTCAAAGTGAAAACCACAGTGGTGCAGTCAGTGGTTAAACATATGTTCTCGGCTGATGGGTTGCACTGGAGACATGGGTTTTATCCCCACCTAATCCCAGGTTTCAGATCCATGTTTGTTAAAGTTATTCATCATTTAACACACAACTCTAAATCAAACTGGTTGAAACCGCTCTTCATCTCAACAGACTCAGTGGCTCAGGAGAGTAAGATTGTGTTTCAATCACAGCGTTCTGAGTTCAAGTCCCACTATTGCTGATTTTCAATAGTTCTCATTAGACAAGCAGCCCCAAAAACCAGCCGTCAATGTGAAATCCATGATGGGCGAGTGGATAAACACACACTCTCTGAGGACAAGACTGATGAAGATAAGGGTTTGAATCTCACTTTAACTGCTTTATTGGAAACTCTCGGGATAACAGTGAAATATAAGTTCCAGCACATCATCAGCAAGAGATCTGTGGCTCACAGGTAAGAGCGCTGCCTCACGGGTTCAGAGGTTGCTGGTTCGAGTCCAGCCAGATCTCCGTGATAGGAGTGGATGTTGTGTGAGTGGCGCGCCCAAAGGAGGGGGATACCAGAACGGTCTCCCCCCGGAGCTTCTGGGACAGTCAGCCACAGGGGTTATGCTTTTTGGAAACGAGGGGTGGAAAAAAGTTTTTTTTTTTTTTATATATAAACATTTCCCCTCCTCGTCCCTTCCCCACCCGCTTAGGTTCCCATCATTTGCTTTTCAAAGGGGGAGGCCCTTCAAAATGACAATGATGGGAACCTACATGTTTAGCACAGTAAAACAAGCGTACATTACCTGTCCATCAGGAGACGTCCATCATTACAGTCAATGTCTGTCCACACGTCCCACAGCTTTGCTTCTGATGACTGGATATAATGGTCCAAACACATTCTTTCTGTAAAGAAAGACATGAAAAAAAAAAAAAAGATTATTTTTCAAAGATTAAAAAGATATTTTTAGAAATACTCTATATTCTACATCTATAAATGAGAATGTGAAAGTTAGTCTAAAGACTACTCAATAGAAGGAAATTGAATACATTAAAAGTCTAAAGTTGTACAGTGTGAAAATATATTACTATTATAATATATTATATTATATTATATTATATTATTATTTTAATTCAATTCAAATTAGGTGTATTTTCTTCCAAATAAACAAGATTAATTGAAAACAAAAATTGTATTGCTTAATGTTACTTTTTTGTATTTTTTTCTTTATTAATGTTATTCATAATCAGAAATCAGAGTGTGTTTGAATATGTTTGCTGAGGAGAGATTAGGGATGAGCTATAGTTTAGTTTGCATAGAAATATTGTGTGCAATGACACATCAATGTAACACAAAAATAAACAAGAGATCTCTTGACAAAATAACTGGTGTAGCTTCCGTGATTCAACCATAATTGGGACAAGCTTAAGTTTTAAATTACAATAATCCTAAAAGGCTGATTTCCTGCACACGGTTTAACCCTGTTCTGTTCTGGACTGTATCTATGATGGTTTTCATTAGAAGTAAAATCACTGCAGCTCTACACAAGCATGAAGCAGCAGAAACATCAGAGTAACTGACTCTATTAACAAACATCAATCCAGTTTATTACCTACAGTAAGACTACATTAACAACAACACACACACAAAAAACAGCATTCCTTATCATTATTCATTATCATTATTATTCTGATTATACATGTAAAGCAACACACGATTAAATTGCTCGTCTGAAGGTCTGAGTGTGTGTTCAGAAAAATAAGAGTTTTTTCTCTTTTTATAGACGCGAATGCTTTCATAACAAGCTTAAACAACATTTAGTTTACAGACACCATGAAAATTACACTGACGAGCCCTGCTATGATGACAATTCAGCAGAACGATGCATCAGTGAAAAATATAACAAAACATAAAGCGTCGCGATATCTTTTT